ACAATGGAGTATTAAACTTGACAGTGAGAGTGAATTAGAACCAAGAAAGATATAACCTTAAAATATAACTGTTTCTTATTTTAAGGAAAGATGGATAGTGCCTAGCAGTAGAATGTAGGAAGCGCGTTTCGTTTTGAAACGAACGGTACTGGGTTTGAATTTCGGAATGGACATTAACTCTGAGATGCAGGCACATCCAACTGACGATTCACAAATAGAATTATCCATCTTTGCTTATAAAGCTTGTGACTTAGGGCTATATTAAATAAATCTGTACGGGATGCACATATGCCAACATGAAACGGATCAATTACAGTCCTAAATAACAGTGAGAAGATACAAGTAAAACAACATCAAGTGTATTTATGTTTCTTATTTTTACTCAATTTTTTGAATTATATTACCTTTAGATGAGTCAAAGTAGATGTCACAAGATGCATTTTTGTTTTACCAGGGATTTTTGGCAAATGTCAGCTTTTGATTAGATAGGTGTATGTGAGAGATATTTATATTAATGTATAATGAGTTTATTATTTTCATAGACAAAACAAGTTATTACATGAGTGTTAATAGAACCTAAAATTTAGTAATTATGCTTAGACTTTAACATTGGAAATTAACTTCTGTAACACAGTTCAATTGGATGTAACAGTTTGAAGATGGATTTGAATCTAACTTTAAATTCGAGTACGTAAAACTTATAGATATCCATTCGGGAACTAGATAGAAAAAAATGGTAAGATAATCAGTTTATGATCAATCAACTTAGTATCCAAGATAGTTTATGTCGATTTATTTGATCTAAGTGATGGTTTACCTTAATTTAGTGAATGTTTACAGATATGATTAAAAACAGAAACCAATGGTAAATTATACTATAATTTTCTTCCAAATTCTTCATAAAAGTGAAAGGAGTATCATTAAATAAAAGAATTTTTCCCTAGTTGTGTTTTTAATTAAACCAACTCTTATTATGTACTAATCTCAATTCAGTTAATTTTTTCTACCTGTCTTTCTTTTCCTTTCCTTATGTCTTCTTTTCTTCTCTCACAAACGTATCTTTCTATTTATGTAGAACAAATTTTATTTTGTTACTTAATTGTACCAGAATTAATAAAAATCAATATCTATCAGTAATTTCTTTTGATCCCTATATGCATAAAATATCAAGGAGTTGATATGTATTGTCGATTGAATGCTACTTGCTATATCTGATCGTTGCTGACTGTTGTGTCGGAAACGCTTATCACTTTCATTCGGAACGAGTGACCTTTGCGATTCCCACGATGCGAAAGTAAGAACACAAAGACTGGTATAAGTGAAGATTTATTAACCCCAAACCACGACGAGGACGACTCTAGCCAAAAATACACCCATTTATATACTAATTCGTACACCCATTTTGATTAATAATTAAGATGAAATCACATATATGAAAAATACTTAGGGGTTATAACAAATTAGATACTGAGCATATTTTATGTCACTGGAATACAAGAATATCGCATATTATACATAATAAAATATCATACGAGAAAAGAAAACAAATACTACATTGAGTAATCATTAAATTGAATCAAAACGGAAGTAATCTTGAACAAAACTTATAATGAGGAAATCAATCGAAAATGGACTTTTCTTCCCATCATAACAGGAGTTTTCATTGATATTTCATTAAAAAGTACGTTTCTCAATTAATGTTTAGAACTCATGGATATAAGTAATAAAAGCTTGTTTTTATTGAAGGAAAATCAAGAACGCTAGAATACATTGAAGCATTATGTGTAAATCAAATCAAATTACATGAACACAAAGTATGAAGATTGTTCTAGAAATAAGATAGGTAAACTTAAGATCATATCTAAACATTTAGATGTACAAACTTATGTATAATCCAGTTATATGATAATATTGTAAATGATGACAGTAATTATTTACTTACTTACGTCTCTTACTTCTCATAGAGGAGCATAGGCCGTTCACCAACATTCTCCACCGAATTCTGTTATTGGTAATCCTTTCCAGCTGTTATCCATTATTTTGATATCTGCTTCCGGTTCTCGGCACCGTGTGTTCTCTAGTCTTTCTCTTTTATATTTCCCTTCAGAATTCCAAGTTAGTGTGTAATAATCCCACGATCAATAAATTCTTAGTTTTTTAAATGCCAGATACTGTCGTATTAAAGTGTTAAAATTGTTTGAACGCTTGATGTGTACACTTATATGTTTGTATAACTAGGATATTGATAGAAATTATGAGCTTGATCAGTTTAGATATTTGATTCGCGATCTACTTTTCATTAAATATGAAGCAAAATCTCTTTTATGTAGAATTGAATATTTTCCTTTTGTTTTAGTAAAACAATTACCTTTATTTTTCAGTCATCTTGTGATCAGTGTTTTTTAGTTCTGAACTGCTCTATATAAGGTCTGAGGTCAACTAGTAGCTTGTATGGTGCGAAAGTGATACAATTCTAATTTCATTCAAATCATCTGAAGAGAATTGACTTTTAGCGTGAGATAATAGCACAAACTAAAGCATTAGTTATGAAAGTCTTTAGATATGTTATGTTCAGATTATGAGTATGGTTGACTAAAATATTAGACTATAACAAGGGTTAAACGGAGTTAAGTTTGATTGGTATTTATCATTGACCTTCTTACTGTACAAAGAAATACAGGGACAGTTTAAAGACAACTAAAAGCTTTCGTAATCACAACTTTCGATTCCATGGAAAAGAGTAGGGTATTATTTAATGTTTCTTAAATAACCTTATTGAAATCAATTTTTTTTACATCTTTTAAACATTATCCAACAGCTGAAGTGCAATACAATTAATTAAAATAATTTTACCATAATAATTTTTCTAAATAATAAAACCATCATTAATGTAAAAATAAAGGCTTCAACATATTCAATTTACACTCTTCTCTGATGATATTACATACTTTTAAACTACACTATTTGATCATAAAGGGTTGTAAATCTATACAGGATACTCAAGACCAACTTTAAAGTAGTGACTTAATACAATTATTGAGTCCTAAGTTTGCTTATATGAATTAACACCAATATGATTTGTCTAAGAAATATGTTTTTGTAATGAACTCGGCACCAGTTTCGTTTTAGGTTAATAGGAGAGTATATAGCAATTCAAAGTAGTTACTTTTAACTTTTTTGATGATGAACTGTAGAAACGTTTTTAATACTTAATTACGCGTGTTACCATTCGTGCAGGCGAATAGTTCACTAATCTGGATTCTTCAACCAACTCTGTCCTGTGGTTTCTTTTCTAGCTGTTTTCAACTTCTATTTATTCTTTCAATGTCTACTTCCAGTTTCCGGCACAATATGTTTTTGGGTCTTCCTCTTTTCTTCTTCCCTTCAGGATCCAAATTATGGGTCGCCTCGTTCCTCAGTTTGATGATTTTCCAAATATACATATGTTCTTAAGGTAATCGATAAACTTATATGATGAACACATTCTGTGGTGGCTTTATAGATGAAATCTCAAAAGATTATGCTTTTCATAATAAGATAGGAGGTGATTTCTATGCAATTATGTGAGAAATACATACAACTAGACATTGATGTGTACTAACAATGGTAGTCTTATCATATTTGTTGAAAATATATTTATTAAACTTATCTAAAATCTGAGTTGTGCGTTAAAAAGGAAACGACTGTTTGATCTTTGTGCTGGTTACATAAACTGCAAGTAATTACAATTCTGATTGGTATTTCAAAATTATTTTTGGACATTATGTTTATTTAAAATAATTTATTCAACGTTATTAGTTTTACATAAACTTTGATAAAATTCAATCAGCACTGAAAAGGACTTGATAAACATGACTCTGGTTACTTGTTAGTGATCAATTTCCATCCTATAAAATGTTACTATTGTCTCGAGTAGCTCAGTGATACTTGTTTCATACTGTGAATCTGAATGATAAGAATCAAATCCAACGTGAAGCATCAGGAGCTAACGAGTACACTTTATCAAAGAATCCTAAATAGCAAGAAAATTAGGTCTAGGATTGATTTTCTGTTGACTGTGTTTAATCACTTGACACTTATTAAAACTACTGCTAGGCTATTTTGATACAGGTTTACATTTATTTCTATAAAAATTCAGTCCCATAATAATACAGCATGCAAAATTCACTTAGAAATTTTGAGACTTTTGTGATGTACAAATATGGTTTTAATAAAAATAAACTATTTGAACAAATTAATTTACTGGCATACATAATCATTGCCATACTAGTTTGCAACATAAGGATAAATAAACGGTTAATGGAAAAGAAAATATTCCCTTTTTCAATTAGTTCCTCTTCAAGGCTTTACAGCAGTATATAAATTTATAAGTTGAAAATTAACACTAAATAAATAATGATCGGTTATTTTTAATGGTTGAGATCATGAGTCAATTGAAGCTAAACCACCGTGGAAAACCTGGAAGCACTGGACGGTGGTCTATTTTCAATTGACTCATGATCTCAACCGTTAGGAATTACTATAATATCCACAAAACCCCTTCTGATACTAATGATCGGTTAGTATAGCAATGGATATCAATATATGTTTTCTAAAGAAAATATTAATACTAATGGTAATAGTAATGGTGAGAATATAATTTATAAATGACCTTTGAGTGACGCTAAAGTAACCTTGAGAACGTTCATCTACTCACTAGGGCTAAATGACGGTTATAAACTAGTATGAGGAATAAGTATTATGATTTACAGTGGATGGTTAGGGGTTAGAAATAAGATTTAGGATTTTCATCACGAAATGACATCAGTTAAAATGCCAAAACGTTATTTAGCCAAATAGGTGAATGGATTTCACGCCGAAATTCAAGATCTGTTATCCTAAATCTGATTGGTCCGTTCATCAATTATAGTCCCATAATAATAATATTATTATTATAGTAATAGGTAATTTATTCAAAGCTAACCTAGAAAAACACCAGGAAATGTTTAATTTCTCAATCTTACAATTTGATAAAAGTTTTTAATTTCAATATTTTCTAAATATAAAAATAATAATTTCGATGGTTGAGATTATGAGTCAATTGACGCTAGACTACTATGAGAAACCTGGAAACATTGGATGGTCGTCTCGTCCTAGTGTGGGACTCCTCAGCAGTGAGCATCCACGATCCCGCCTCGTGAGATTCCAACCCAGGACCTATCAGTCTCGTGCGTGAGCGCTTAACCACTAGACAACTGAGCCGGTCGGTATCCAACAGTGTTAATGTCTAACTTCAGCTAATCCTCGAAATTAAGCAACACATCCATCATTGTCTTCAATGAATTACTATCTCATAACAAACCCAGTTGAACTCAAATAAAAGTTTATTTCAAATTGTAATTTCTACGCATCAATGTTTTGAATAAATGCGGAATAACAAGAATAGGGTATCAAACATAATTGATTTACTTAACTATTCTAAGCCTGCACTTAACATTTTATACGCAACCTTAAAATATAATGATTTATACAATATACATGTTCATATAAATGAGTAAACATATATATATCCATATATACTATTGAAGCACTCTCATTTTATCATTTACAATAAAATATGCTATTCACTAAGTATTATTCAATAGGAATAATAATATATATTGCTTTAATGAATTCAATTTATACACATTCTAATCATTATTATAATGGACTTTTAGAACATTCTAAAAGAAATTCATACGATGCTATAAACTTTCCATTGAAAACAATTCATGGACGTAAATATGATATGGAAGATGGAGCTGGATTTGTACCAGATAATTATGGTAATCATGGTAACCACGATGATGAAGATTATGATTCATATGATAGTAATAATTATGACGATGGTGAAGCGCATAATTATGGTCATGTTAATTTAGCAGAAAAATCAATGAAGAAATTAAAAGAGTTAAAACGTCGTAAATACAATGAATATTATAAAGGTGATGATGAAGAAGAAGAGGGCGAAAATGGTACTGAAGGACCAAATCAACAACCAACTGAAGCACCAAGACTTCCACCCCCATCAAATTCTCTCGCAGAGTAAAGTATTCACTTACTAATTCAGAGTATTCAGATAATAAATTTAAAATATCAATATGTAAATGAATTAACTGACTTTTTTAATGATCTAATATCATGAATATATGTTGTACGATTTAATAAAACAATAATGTCATCAAGTGTTTATTTAGCAACAATAACAGTGACCTAAATGTTTAACGTTTATACAATTGAGTCGATAAAATTATAGTCGACTATTGACGAATAAACGTAGCCATTAAGAGTAGAAGATACTAGTAAATCACCAGTATTTGACCATAGATGCCTTAGAAATATTTCCAGCATCTGCTGCGATCACCAGGTAAGTAATAGTGAGATTAGACGCAGGGTATTAGGGAATGATGGTAAATCAGTTGATGAGGTTGTGAATCTTCATTGACTGAGATGGTTGGGCCACATGTTACGTATGCCTGAACACCGATTACCACGACGCAAAATGTTGGCTTGTGTCGGAGACGGTTGGAAGTTAGGGGCGACCAAACTAAAACGTTGCATCAGTCGTTGAGGTCACTAACTTCTAGTCTGAACCATGTTGGCAGATGTAGACTCAGTCAGTGAGTAACAACGTAGAACTTCGTACGTACGTACATCAGTTTGACTTTCCATACCACATTAGCACAGAGATGCAGTTGTTGATTCAAATCCCGTAGTGGCTAGAGGTAGTAAGAGTATAAGCAGTAATGGGAAACATTATGGTTTGAAGATATTATTCAAGGAGAACAATCCAGTGAAATAAATTTGGGAAGAGAAAAAAAGAGACAAGGAGGATTCAGGAGATTAAAATTTGGGAGAACATAAAGAGTGTATGCACCTGCGCCATTGCAAACGATTTTGAGCCATGTCATTCAAGGTCTCTAACCATCGGTTGCTATCATCTCGCGGTCCCCAACCAGGTAGTCTACACCTACCAACATGACTCAGTCCACTTGTCAGTGACTTCATGGACTTGTGCCATGTTTTGGTTTGGCCGCCCCTAGCTTTCTTCCAACCTACTCCTATACCACTGAACATAGCACGTCGAGGCAGTCGGTCGTTGGGCATACGTAACACGTGTCCAAGCCATCTCAACTGATAAAGTTTCACTACGTCATCAATTGATTTGCTATCCTCACCTAGTACCCATTTCCTAACAGCTGCATTACTTGCTCGATGGTCCCAGGATATACGAGCAATGTTTCGAAGACACCTATGGTCAAATACTAGTAACCTACGAATATCCTCTACTCTTACCGGCCATGTCTCACTGCCATAAAGTAGGACGGGAACGAACTGCTGCACAGTAAACCCGTACTTTGGTTTATAGACGGATATCTCACCTACGCCATAAATGACGCAAGTTAGCAAAAGCTAGTCGAGCCTTCTGTATCCGTTCTGAAACTTCGTCACACACCAGACCACATGGCTGATGAGACTTCCAAGATAAGTGAAGCGATCGACACGCTCAATTACTTCACTCCCTATCATTAGTTCGGGTGTCAATGCAACCCAATCCTGAAGCAACATTTTGCATTTCGATGGGCAGAATCGCATCCCGAACATGCTTGCATTGTTGCTTAGAGTGGTCAGGAGACTCTGCATTTTGTCGGCGTCTTCACCAAATAAAACTATGTCATCTGCATATTCTAAGTCAACAAGTGAACCACCCAGTAGAAGTCCAACCCCTGGAAATCTAGACGAGGAAAGTGTTATGTCTAAAAGTACGTCGACCATAAAGTTGAACAAGAATGGAGAGAGTGGACAGCCCTGACGAACACCACTTGACGTAATCAGTTCTGATGACAGTTTGCCATAAGCTCTAGCTCTACCAGTTGTGTTCGAGTAGAGAGCCTGTATAAGGTTAATGTACTTCTTTGGTACTCCTTTCAGTGACAAACACTGCCATAGAACCTTACGATGAACAGAGTCGAATGCTGCTTTAAGGTCGAGAAATACTACGATGCAGACTACTTGGTTGTGGTCCGCGCAACTATCGTAACCAATGGTTAGAGACTCTTGGTGACATGGCTCAGAATCGATCACAATGGCGTCGGTGTGTACACTCTCTGCCTTCCCTTAAACTAAGAGACTAAAATCACTTCATATCTTTCTTTATGCGAACTAATTGTTTCTCCCTTTTATGCAATCTTTCTTTTATATATTACCACCATTGAATTTACAACTTCTATGAATTCGGTGTTCATCGTGTTGTGTTAGTGAGGTATGGCAACTTGGATCGATGCATATATGTGCCTGGTCCTACGTTGTAGCTGATTGACTGACCGACAGATAATCCCGTTTTTTTTTTAAAGTGAAGGTGATTGAGCAAATAAAATTTTCTAAATCTGCACTGTTTTGTTTTAAACAGCTTTCGATGTGAAAAGCTATCCAATTATGATTAACAATAAGAAATCATAATCTCAAAGTAAGTAAAAACCTGATGGACAAACTTCAATTTTTATAGACAAGTAGTGTAGTGAACGAAAAACTCAAGTATGGAAACTAAAGCAAATTAAAGAGTCATTTAGCAAAGTATGGAAACCATACATCAAATACATAATTCGCACATCTTCAATCAGTTGTTTTCTACACCTTTCATGATTCTTTCAATTCTGTTGTTATTACAATTACTTTTTGTTTCTTTCTCGGTTCTCTGCAGCTCAATCCTCTCTTGACAAGCATTCTACATCTAATTGGTGTTACATATTACTTATATCTGTCAATATAAGTAGCATATACCATAGTAGCGTTTGAGGTACTGTGTACTACGCTTGCGTTTCGGTGAGAACGTCTTTAATTCTCAAGATATGGTTATCATCTATCAGGAAATAATAAAGATAATCTAATAAATATGATGTATTTCATTACTAATCACTAACGAACGTAACGCAGTTAAGCAAAACGACTAAATAATTAAGGTAACTAAGTGTATTTTCTCCATTAGACAGTAAGACATTTCACGTAAAAATGTTAAAAAATTATTCCATATGCGAATTTTGGATATTAAAAGTGTATGGGACATTCTCGTATAAATAAATTCTATAGTTTGTAAATTAATTATAGATCACCATTGTATCAGATATAGTTATCTCTTGATTGACAATAAATGATGAATTTTACTCAAATTCCGCTATTTACAGATATCCTAATGACTTCAAGCTCCACAGAGATCCAGATCAGAAAGACATTGTTGTGAACATACTTAATATCGAGTGACAAACTGATGAGCATAGTATACATAAAAAGGAGATTGACCTTGAGTTCACTACATCATTGGTAGTTTTATCCACTACAATGAAAAGAGATTGATTCCTATCTATGAAAACGCCGTTCTGTTTTTCACCTACTCAAACTTTCGAGGTCTTTACTTTCCTTAATAAGTGATTTACTAATGCCACATTTATAATATAATGTAACTTGATAAAGATTCTCTCAATCTACCATCTAAAAATATAGTTCCGTCTAGAATTCATTTTCGTAAAATTTTTACTAATGACATCATCGAATAAAATAGATAAGATAATCGAAACAGGTTTCAATTTATAATATATTAATCGATAGAAAATATGACTATTACCTATCCCTCTCCGATCAGAACTTTATAACTCATTGAACGGGAGATCACAAAAATGCAGCCTAAGATAGTGAATGAGAGTATTTAATTAAAAAATCACTATATATATATATATATATATATATATATATATATATATATATACTGAGAGTGACTAGATTTCAGTACTAATAGGCTCAGTAACATAATAGATGACTCAATAAGATAGTTTTCACTATGAAGAGGGATAAATGAGAATCTGGAGTAAGGAACCTTCTGTCTAACTGACCAATAAATTAAAACGTAGATTTACACTTTAGCTGCTTCACATCAAGTGTTATATGAGAATAAATTCACTGTGAGATTTCGCAATGCGATTATGGCTAAAGGAGAATATCAATGTTAACAAAATTAATACCAATGATTGGCGTTCAATAGTTTAAACTACAAAACACAGTCAATTGATAACTGTTTTCTGGTTACTGAATAGCATAGGATTTCTAGTGATCATGTAATACATGTTATAATAACCAATATTACCTATGTCAACCAATAGATCAGTTTCACCCGTGGTTTATGTGCAGACAACACTGAATTAATGAATGGAATTAGGAATAAACAAGGTCAAAAGCTGCATTAAAACAAGAGAATCTCGTCATACATTCGGAGTATTCAATTAGTATGTATGCGATAACTTCCAATGGGCAATGGAGGTGGTTACTTCTCCAAAAATCTAATTCTGTTACGTGGTCCACCTAGGCGGTGCCGAAAAAACCACCTTCGCTATCCCGTCAATTTTGCTCCCAAATGCCCTGGTATGGCCGAGAATGGGGTGGGCCCGCCCTCTCTCGAAATGCTCTCACACGGCCACGCGTATACAGCCTCTGTCAGGGAAGTCATACTAATTGCCTTCTCGTGGCGGGGGGGGTTGTTTACGAAAATGAGAAGACGAAAAGCGAATGTCCAGCGCTTTAACCTGATTCCAAACCAATGGTGCACATGGATTCCAGTATCCTGAGGGAACAAATGGCGTATGAACCAATCGTTGGTCACCGGCTACCACGGGAGTGTATCTCCTTACGATGCTCCACTGCCTTGTGGGTCAGACCTTTAGGTCAAAGGCTCGGGGTGTGGTCCCCTAAGAAAACCACCTGCTTCGGTCTGTGCAACCGGGCAGTATCACAGCCCTCACACAAATCGGATGAATTATGTGGTGCCTCATTGTACCAATGTTTAAGTGTTTAAATAAATAAATAAATAATAAGTGACCTTCATTTTCAGTAGGTAAGTTTTACGAATGATTCAGTAAATTCTGACGAATGTGAGGTGGCAGTTCTGATGGAAGGATTTTGTGACGATTAGGTAAATCTGAAGGTATTATTTGTCACAGACTGACGCCAATCGATGAACCATGGAAGACCAGGAAACTTGAATAGCTGTTTCACCCTAGTACTGGACTCCACTGTGGCAGGCAGTAGAGGTCGTGGCTTCAATTACTAGCCTAATTCTCGATGCATATTCCTGAGGAGACCAGTGCCAGGAAAAACAGCTGTTCAGTGGCCCTAGTTTCTACTTGTACCTCAGACGATATCAGTTGGTGACGAATAGAAGATCAGTTAGTCGACTGTCAAGTCTCACAGCAAAACTACCAGACAGTTAAGTTTAATTTATTTATTATCATCAATTTAAAACCAAGTTTAATGTAAATCGAGTTGCGTAAAACGTTAGCTAAATACTACGTAATACATATCTTTTTGTCATACTTAATATTCTGATTGCTGCTGACATCAAAATGTACTTAGTAACTGTGTCATAAGAAGAACAAATCCATATAAATACGTATATATGATCAAGTTAGCCGAATGCGTAGAAGAGTTTGGTTTATTTCCCTTAGTTCTCATTGAAATGGATGAAAGAATTATTAATCTTCCTTTAATACTACTAATCAGTTACATAACAATCAATTTGATAACATTAGGAAATACGCAAAGTATGCTGAGTGAGTCATTGCAGGACACGATTGAAAGAGCACAGAGAGAAGCAATGAATGTAACTAACAGAGAAAGAAGTTCGTCCAGTAATAGGAGAAATGATATGAAATTGATTCAAAGCGATGGCAATTATTATAAGAAGAGACAATCAAACAAGGCAGGTGGTAAACGCTATGAAGGTCTTTTCTATTCTCGTGGTTATTCAATATTTGGTGATATTGATTCAGAAACAACTACATTTCAGTATGGTGGCAAAATCACAAAATATGGTAAACGAAGTCGAAAGTATTCCGACAGAGATACAATTGGAAGTTCGGATCGATATGCTAGTTCATATATTAAAGATGACTTCAAGATTCGAGCTAAATCAAAGAAGAAATATGCAAAAGATTATAATGGAATGTCTGAAATGACAGGGATGGATATGCAAATCTCTGGCATTCGGAAAACTAATGGAAATGAAGGAGAAACTAAAAGTAATAAAGAATCAGAATCGAGCGAAGCGCGAAACAGAACTGTAGACACGAGAAGCTTTAATACGCGTGGGTAGTTGGAAACGTAGTAGATCACCAGATGTGATAAATATGTTTTATTCCACATAGAATCAAATTTATTTATGTATAAAATAATGTCAAACACTATTTTGAAACGTGGTAAACAACATATATACATATATCAGAATATATTTCAAGTAATATCATACATAGTTCTTCCGAAACGTAAAAAGAATGTTACGTTTCTTGTGCTATTGTCTTAGCATAAATAGCAGTTCGTATCTAGCTAGAAGGTACTTTGTATACTGGGGGAGCGTGCAGAGTAGAGCGAATGGGAGGAGCTGGTAAAGAGACGACCAAAAGAAAATGTGAGTAAACGATCTAGCAAGCGCACAAAATCCACTTACAATTGGTAAGAAAAACATTCGACGCAAACCAACAATAAAATAAGCCAATAATATTGTTTTCAATTAGAGCATCACCAGACTTTACTGAAGAATATAAACGGATAGGGGTGAAGAATGACAAAGGAATAAGGAATATGAAAACACTAATAAAATCGTTTGTTAAGTCGTATCTGACCAAGAAATGAACAGGGGTATCAGGGATTTCTTTTGAACTGAAACTAGGTCTATAGGTCCGGATCCATATAGCTTCTGCAATATGCAGGAGACGGCATCGAACTCCATTGGGAAATGACTAAGGTTTACGGTAGATTATTCGAAATGATTCACCTTTCTTTATCGTATGCTCACCGAATATGTGAATATTCATAGATATTAGAGTAAAGACTGATGACCATCTGAGTGGAAACAATATTGTCCGCTTATGCGTTGTTTGAAGAACAGATGCCTCAGACTGAGACCATCTGGAAATTGAAACTAGAAGCAGATAGTTGAACCAACCATACCATATGATCTTCGAAACGCTAACACAAGGTTTTGCTTTGATAAAACAAACGTGAATAGAACTAATTTACAGAGATGAAGAGCTCTCAAAACTTTTACGGAATATAACGTAGGACATTTCAGGATTTTTATTTACTTCATATCACCTCGGACTCAATGTTGCAACTGTAAAATCAAGAGAAGTCTAGGACGATGTTAGGAGGACCTGGAGATTTTCAAGTCACTTTTCTCCAATCGAGTATAGAATCTGCATGAACTTAAGCATTTTCTACCAAATAATGATATAATCTGATAGTGGTGGTTTTGAGAGGCACTTGAGTTTCCCATTATCTGTTTTCCTATCTTAATAATGTGGAGCTATTACTGTTGTGTATTTAGGCTCGCTTTTTATCACGTAATTCATTCGCCAATCGAAATACGACTTATTCGCTCTTGTACTGTACTAAACCAATGACGTCCGACTGGTCTGATCAGCCTAGCATCTTATTGGCCTTTTGCTCTCCCAGCCTCAGGAGTTACTCGTAATTAAATCGTCGCTAGGATATAACAATTACAACACAGCCTCATTTATTGTATCGTAAACAAATTTTCATTAAAGCTTTCTATCGCAATACGCATCATATTCACAAATATTTACACGAAAAATTCAACATCGTAATGTTTCAAGACACTGAGATGTGGAAGCCACATGTGGCAGTTATTGTCGATTTTACCAGTCCTGTCTTCAACTACTTCGGTTTTAATATAGTGGACAACTTACATGGTCAGTTAGTCGATAGTTTACTATGAGCAAAGCTAAGTGTTTTAGGTGTTATGCACAATCTACATTTTAAAAGTGTGTATCTGACACACTTGACACTATGATTTTCATTCTGTAATGACAAGTAATATCTTATAATATTCATTTTAGACATTTCAATAACTAACAAAAGTATTTCTACTAGGCTTCTAACACGATAAGAGGAATTGGTGTAAGAACTATTCCGATGAATTAACTCGAGGGCGTAAATTATCACAGATTTTACATCCTGTTTATCTTCTACCAGTTCAGCTTCGTGCTTAATTTCGATAAAACATTGAAATCATAGTTTCATGTCCTGGATATTCATGGATGATTCACGTCTTCCACAAATGAAGAATTCTAAGTCTGAAATTCAGGAACAACTGGTGCGTTGGTAATACGTGCACTCAATTTAATTTGATCACTTAAAATTTAAGCATTGACGATCCACTTTAGCAGCATAGATTTAATTACACACAGTTAACTTCACAAAACTGTGACCGATATTGAGAGATGACAACAACTGATGAAAATGTTTCGTGTGAACATTCAAAAAGGTTAATCAAAATTGAAATCAGTTAACAGGTAGGTATACTGTTTATGTCATCGATAAATAAAACTGTTATCGTTGGGAGAATGAAGAAGAAATAAATGAAAACGTCAACCCATATATTTCTTATTGTTAACTTAAATAACAAAGTCAATAGTATTATAAGCTAAGGTGGATGATGGTCAGCAAGCACATCCATCTGATGAGTTCGAAATAGAATGAAATGTGCGTCCTGTGTAGCACTGATAATCAATATACATCTCTAATTATAAGAAATATGAATTGATGGCAGAATCGAGGCAATTCGTACAGGATGTACACATACTAAAAAGAGAATGATCAATTGTAGTCCTAAATGTCAATTGAAAGATAAATGAATTAGAGTCAATAGAGTAGTGAACGAAGACTTGGTGGATTAAAGCGATTTATTATCATACGCGAAAGCACACAGTTGTCCTTTACCTACTTCATGATTCTTCCAATTATGCCGTTATTTCAACTGCTCTCTGTTTTCATTCCTGTTCTCTCCATCTCAATCTTATGCTGACAGGCATTCCATTTCCGACTGTTGCTAAACACTACTTATATCTGACAGCATAAGTAGCATCCGCCAAAATTGTAATTGTAAATCTGGAAGTATATATCGAAGATGAAGAAGGAACATACACCATACACCATAACAAGTGGGTAGTGTTTACAATCAATAGTTCGTCTTCATATCCATCAAATAATAAAGTTGAGGATTACAGATTAAGTTACTTAGCATCCGACCATCGTTACGATTTCAAACTGTGATGTACAAATTTCAGTTTGAACAGTTGTAAATTATTACTGAGCTTTACATAACAATTTGGTGCCATTTCAACTGGAATCAATTCTTAACGAATACAACCGACAACTTGAAAACTGACCTCCACAAAACTAATTCAACGAAGTAATAAATCAGTATGGGAATAACTACTCAGTGGTCGCACGCGAGACCAAGGATCCCAAGTTCGAGTTCCGAATATGGGATCGTGGGTGAGAACTGCTGAGGAGCCCCATACAAGGACGAATAGGTCGTTCAGTGTTTCCAGGTTTTCAAGTGTTCTATCTTAAATCGATTCGTGATTTTAACTGTGAAAGAAATGTTAAAAAATACACATGATATTCGAACACTTACATTTGAATGAATATTCGTTTCAATAAATAAAGTAAAGGACCAAGGACAGAACCTTGTGGTATGATCTCTAGTTTGTTAGAATAAAGTTAGTGCAATAAACGACCAGTAAACTGAATTTCATTTTCAAAAACTTCTGACGTTAGCCATGTTTCTAAGACAACAATGACATCCGGGTTTTCCATATTCACCATTGTCTTGAGCTCTGCCATTTTATATTGTAGGCAGCGAGCATTTGTGCAGCACACTTTTAATTCTATAGAGAACTTTCCCCTACCACCCAGAGTGATTTGGGGATCGTTTTACTTCGAAATTTCACAATTTGAAAACCCTTAAGTACGAGGTATTTTCACCATTTCATCGGCGGCCGTTTCTTAATACGGTCAACTAGGCTATGATCCCCATGGACGTATATTCTAGACCCAATCAGTTTGCATGACTTTCCCAACAACAAGTTTCTTTATTCAGCCAAAACACAGGTAACCTTTAAGAAGACGCTTTTCTGAGTACTTTCAGAATACACTTTTTGCCTTGTTCTATAAACATTACAGATTCTAACTCCGGCAACTGTTTCTGGGAGTAGCTTGCTTATAAAGGAATTAATGTGGTTGAGGTTATGCTCAAATCTAGCCTTTGGTTCCTTTTCCGAAGAATCTCAAAGCTATTAAAAAGGGCTGACCTGTCAGTGAGGTCCATCTTAACACGTTATGGAATTTTAATTCCTCAAATTTTCTCCTCCCTGCAATCCGATTTGGCGTCAAACGTAGAGATCTCACTCTGTTTTCTTACTTTTCTTCCACTGGGTATCACTGTAATAAATAATTAAGTAAAATCACAGTATATTTGTTCATATTCATGATAAACGGTGGAGGTACGATTATTATATCTGCATGCAACGAAACCGGTAACTCAATATTTATAGCAATTCTCCTACAATCAATTTCGATTATGGTTAATTTTGGTTAAGCCGTTTTATTAATTTACTTAACAGACTATGTTGTTCCAACAGTAAGCATTCGCATATTTGTTTGTAGTATTATCATCATCTACGCGTGATCACATGACAGACTCAAGCTAAAATATTGATAACTCAAATTTCGCTAAATGAATCATTCTCTTACCCATGAACATATGTACTCGAATCCTATTATTAGCCTTTGTCTTGTGCCTAGCTGCGCCTTATTCGATTTGACTATAAATTTGCCTCTGTACTTGCTCGCATACACATTTGCCTTTGCTTCAAATTCGCTTGATGTGCTTATAAACTTGGTGATTCGTGCTATCCACCAATAAACTGTAGTTACCGCTTCTTATTGCCTCCTGATTTCAGACACTGTTGGAATTTATATAATGACGGTTACAAATGTGATTGATTAACGAAACAAAGCCACTACATATTCATAAACCTCAGTTAAGCCATCATTATAAATATCAATCTGATGAACTCATTCAAAAGCTAATGTAAAGAGAAAGGTAAGTAGTGAGACACATTACAATCTTTCAATTTTCAACCATCTCTGTCGTAAATTAATTTAGGAGTCATAAACAACACTTGGTGGTGCAAACTTTCTAACCATTGATATAATATCATCAGTTGTCTTTTCTATTAAACTAAATAGCATTTCATTTTAAAAATTATTAAACTTGGACAATCAATAAAGACCTATAAATCGCCTTAAAAAAATTGAACTAGACTTTAATACCAGGATATTACTTGTTCACGTGTGCAATTAGTTAGTTTATCCCAACTGTGAAGTTCATATAGAAAAAAACATTTCTCAATAAATAGTTGATTCAAAGATACTTACTTACATACTAACGCCTGTTACTCCTCGTTCAGGAACATAAGTCGCCCACCAGCATTCTCCATCCAACTATGTCCTGGACAGTCCTTCCCAGTTGTTATTCATCCTTTTCATGTCTTCACACAATTCCCAACGTAAGAAGTGATCCTCACTTCATTTTCCTTTTAGGATTCCAAGTTAGCGCTTGCTTCGTGATGATTTCCGTAATATGTACTATCCACCTCCAAAGTCTCCCAAATTTCCTCTTCAGCTGGAAGTTGGTTTATTTTCTCACACAGTAGGCTGTTGCTGATGGTATCATCCCTCGTTCAGGAACATAAGTCGCCCACCAGCATTCGCCAATCAACTGTGTCCTGGATAATCCTTTCCAATCGCTATTCATCGTTTTCATGTCTGCATCCATTTCCCAGTGCGATTTGTTCCTTTGTCTTCTTCTTTCCACTTTTCCTTCAGGATCCCAAGTTAGCACTTGCCTCATGATGTAGTTTGATAATTTCCTCAACGTGTATCCTATCCACTTCCAACGTGTTTTCCTAATTTACTCTTCAGCCGGAAGTTGGTCTGCTCTCTCCCGCAGTGGGCTGTTGCTGATGATATCCAGCCTGTGGACATTCAGTATCTTGTGTAGACAATCGTTTATAAATACTTGTACCTTTTCGATAATGGATGTGGCAGTTCTCTATGTCTTTGATCCGTACAATATGACTAAGTGTTTGATGTTCTTACCGAAGATTATGACTTTGATATTGACTGACAGTTGTTCTGAGTTCCATATGTTCTCCAACTTTAGGAATACTGTCCTTGATTTTCCAGTCCTCACATTTACGTTTCTATCAGATACGCCACGTTCATCGATGATGCTTCCCAGGTACGTGAAAGATTCCACCTCTTCCATAGTTTCTCGATCAAATGTGAGTGGTTCTATGTTCTCTGTGTTGTATTTGAGGATCTTGGTTTTCTCCATATGTATGTTGAGACCTACTGATACAGAGGCTACTTCTACACTGTTTGTCTTCATCTGCATTTGTTGATGTGCATGGGATAGAAGAGTCAGGGTATCTGTGAAGTCCGAATCGTCTAACTGCATCCAACCTGTCCGTGATTCTCTTCAGACATCGAGGTCTTCATGAACCAGTCGACCACCAGAAGAGAAAGTGTGAAAGTAGGCAGCCTTGTCTGACCCTGGCCTTCACTTGGAATGAGTCTGTCAGCTGTCCTCCTTTTGGGGATGTTAGATCCCCAGAACTCACTTGGTAAATATCTTAATTTTATTTCGGAAATTTAAATTTCCCTGTTTTCGCGCCAAAAGCGCACTTCTCACCTTCATGCCGTATTTCCCACTTGGGAGAATCTTTAACGCTATTGGTCCGTTGTGTATTTTTAGTATGCTATTTTTGCTACGCTTCCCAAGGACAGTTTTATGCTGTATATATACGTTTGATTTGTGTCTGTTATTATTCACTCGTGCTTCTGGCTTATGGAGTATACATTCCCGTTCCAAGCTTGGACTTCTTCCTCTAGTTAGCAGGACTGGGACGCATCGAACAGCTAGCTTATTGGTCTACGGTCACAAGTCATTGTTCCGTTCGCATACTAAGTAAACTCGTAATAGCTTCAAACCTAGCACCTTCGTGCATCACTTTGCAGTGGATTCTCAAGTACACTATAGTATCGAAGAAGTTCCCATAAGACCCTCCCGTCCACGCTGTCAAACGCCTTCTCGTAGTCAATGAAGTTGATGTAGTGACGGGTTCCACTCAATTGATTGTTCAACGATGATCCGTAGTGTTGCGATTCGATCTGTATACAGCCGATCCTTACGAAATCCGGTCTGTTGATCTGGGAGCTGGGCGTCTACAGAGTCTTTCATCCGGTTCAGCAACACTCTGTTGCAAACGTTTCCTGGTACTGACAGTATTGTGATGCCTCTGTAGTTCTCACATTTACTCACATCTCTTTCCTTTGGTATCTTGATGAGGTGTTCTTCTTTCCAGTCTGTCAGTGGCACATGTTCTTCCTTCCAAATCCTTCTGAATAGAATGTAGAGCATACCTGCAGTTGCTTTTATGTCTGTCTTTAGTGCTTAAGCTTGTATATTGTCATGTCTTGCTGCTTTCCCACTGTTGATTTGTCTGATAGCCGGCCGTCCTGATTTGTTCGACCGTTGGTGGAGTGAGATATACATCGGAAGGTGTGTGTGTGTTGTTTCGATGTCCGGTGTGTTCAGTTGGGCTAGTCTGTTCAAGGATCTTACAGAGTATCCTACCCACTTGTTCCTCCGTTCGTGAATCTCAGTGTTTGACCTGCCTTCTTTGTCCTTGAACCGTCGTTCTGCCTTACCATGTTTTCATGCCAGTTTCTTCGTTGTGCCATTTAGCTGTTTCATATTTCCGTCTCCCATAGTCTTTTTCGCTCTCGTTGCTAGGTCTTCCGTGTATTTTTGCAACAGCATCTCTCCCGAAACTCCTATTCGGTCCAGCATTCATCCATTGGGTTTCACTTATTCCGAACACCGTCAAGTTGTATCTCCTCATTTCCGCAACTATCTAATCGATCCTCTCGGTCTTCCACACTGTCCAGTCATTCTGTGAAACTACATTAATTGCTGTTCTGGCTGTTAGAAGAGGCATCGGCTTCGTGACTTTCGAAGAATTTCCACTTTCATGAAGAGGCGTCATAATATTTCCTTCAACTTAGAAGGAGAGTTTAAATGGTTTACTTGTTTCGTTAGCATTCATTTGACAAGGTTGTTTTCGATGAGGTAGGAATGCTGACTGAATGCCCAATCGCCCTAATTTATTCGTGAGTAGGACCGGCCGTAACAAAAGAAGAGTAACAGGAGGAGTTTAGACTCAAAGAAACAATTGAATTATAGAAAACTTCGAATTAAGTAAAAGTGAAATCGATTAAACACTTGGAAAATATTATAAGTGCATCATTTACTCGAAATCAAAAGTCAAGCACCATTATGTAGTTCAACCAACAAGTGCATATAAAAATGACTAAAACATACGAAAAATGTAACCAAATATTAATTGAACACGCACAAAATGAAGTTACTTAGAAAAAATGCCACAAATAAATAGTGATAAAATTCGAGAAGAGAAACGTTCGCGTCAACAAAAATGAAACTAGGCGAATACTCATTTTACATATTACTCACTACAATTCTAATCATAATAAGAATCAATAAAAACGTGGAAGCAAGCAAAACGAAAACACATACAAAACAAAACAATAGTGATAAGTTGCCACCACAATTATCTGGACGAAGAAATGGAACATTAAGTGGTCTATCAGGTCAAATGGTCCACCAATCCACATAATTCTCAATGCAAGTGGACCCGGTTTTCATTACCCACCACCATTATCTGGACAAAGAAACGGAACATTGAGTGGTCTATCAGGTCAAAATGGTCCACCAATCCACATAATTCTCAATGCAAGTGGACCCGGTTTTCATTACCCACCACAATTATCTGGACGAAGAAATGGAACATTGAGTGGTCTATCAGGTCAAAATGGTCCACCAATCCACATAATTCTCAATGCAAGTGGACCCGGTTTTCATTACCCACCACAATTATCTGGACGAAGAAATGGAACATTGAGTGGTCTATCAGGTCAAAATGGTCCACCAATCCACATAATTCTCAATGCAAGTGGACCCGGTTTTCATTACCCACCACAATTATCTGGACGAAGAAATGGAACATTGAGTGGTCTATCAGGTCAAAATGGTCCACCAATCCACATAATTCTCAATGCAAGTGGACCCGGTTTTCATTACCCACCACAATTATCTGGACGAAGAAATGGAACATTGAGTGGTCTATCAGGTCAAAATGGTCCACCAATCCACATAATTCTCAATGCAAGTGGACCCGGTTTTCATTACCCACCACAATTATCTGGACGAAGAAATGGAACATTGAGTGGTCTATCAGGTCAAAATGGTCCACCAATCCACATAATTCTCAATGCAAGTGGACCCGGTTTTCATTACCCACCACAATTATCTGGACGAAGAAATGGAACATTGAGTGGTCTATCAGGTCAAAATGGTCCACCAATCCACATAATTCTCAATGCAAGTGGACCCGGTTTTCATTACCCACCACAATTATCTGGACGAAGAAATGGAACATTGAGTGGTCTATCAGGTCAAAATGGTCCACCAATCCACATAATTCTCAATGCAAGTGGACCCGGTTTTCATTACCCACCACAATTATCTGGACGAAGAAATGGAACATTGAGTGGTCTATCAGGTCAAAATGGTCCACCAATCCACATAATTCTCAATGCAAGTGGACCCGGTTTTCATTACCCACCACAATTATCTGGACGAAGAAATGGAACATTGAGTGGTCTATCAGGTCAAAATGGTCCACCAATCCACATAATTCTCAATGCAAGTGGACCCGGTTTTAATTATCCACCAGTATTAACTGGACGAAGAAACGGAACATTGAGTGATCTCTCCGGTGAAAGTGGTCCACGAATCCACATAACTGTCAATGCAAGTGGATCGAGTTCACATCATCATGAATATGGACAGTATGGTAATATTCATCGAGGATTATTTGGACGAGGATATGGATCATTGAGTGATCTCTCCAGTGAAAGTGGTCCACGAATCCACATAACTGTCAATGCAAGTGGATCGAGTTCATATCAACATCAAAATTTTCCACCACGATTATCTGGACAAAGATATGGATCATTGAGTGATCACTCCGGTGGAAATGGTCGCTGTATTTACATAACTGTGAATTCAGGTGGATCGAGTTCATATCAACATCAAGATTTTCCATCACGATTATCTGGAAAAAGATACGGATCGTTGAGTGGTCTCTCAGGTGAAAATCATCTACGTATCCACATAACTGTGAATGCAAGTGGACAGAATTCATATCACAAAACATATGGAAAGCACGGTAAATTTCCACCAACATTCTCTGGACGAAAGTATGGATCATTGAGTGATCTCTCCGGTGAAAGTGGTCCACGAATCCACATAACTGTCAATGCAAGTGGATCGAGTTCACATCATCATGGTAATTATCCACCAGTATTAACTGGACGAAGAAACGGAACATTGAGTGATCTATCCGGTGGCAATGGTCCTTCTATCTACTTTACCTTCGATTCAGATGGACAGAATTCAACTGATCATGATCGAGGACAAGGAGTTACTTCACCACCACGATTATCAGGACGCAAATACATGAAAGGTAAAGCGTACCATTTTCTCCCTGTTTTAGTGTTCTATGATATAATCCATCTGGTCTCACTTACTTGAATATGCAGCACGATCATTTTATTCAATTATTTGAACAACTAAATATTATTACAATCAGGCACCATATACATATGAGCCACACAATAGCAATGAAGTTGTGAAGAGATAGGAAATGTGAAGCGCGTATATTAAAAAAACAACAAAATAAAGAAATTACTGTTTAAGAGTAAAATAATTATTATTATTACTATAGTGGTTGGTGATCAGGAAAATTATGTGTTGCCTGATTCCGTAGGTTTTCAGACAACCATTTATTACACAGATCTCAAAACTCCATCTTATCAAATAAATAAAACAGATTTGTCGTATAGTAAAGCAAAACAGAAAAATCAAAATATTTTAACTGACCGCACACGTGGAAACAGCCTGTCATCAAATAAAACGAATAGGCAGTCTAATGTTAGGACTCGGAGCAAGAGAAATCAGAGGTATAACACTGTGTCAAATAACATTGCATCTAAAGACGAAATGGATTCAGAGACAGGAAATTTCTATCATAGTGCCATATATTCGGAAGTCGAAATAAATCGAGACGAAGTTATGAACAATTACACCTATTTCGATGAACATCCATTACAGGAACACAATGAATATGGCAATATTTCCGCTTGATTCACGATTCTCATTAAAGCGTAATATTATTGATCAGTTGAATATGATAATCTTTCGTTGTAAAAGTCGACTGTGTTCTGACAATTTCTGTTATTTATATTCATTCAGTATGAGAATGGTTCAATATGACAACAACTGAAGTCTGATTATTTAAATCTACCAGATAATTACTGTGAAGTGAATCTATATATATATATATATATATATATATATCTTAGGCTGCATTTTTTTGATCTCCCGTTCAATGAGTTATAAAGTTCTGATGGGAGAGGGATAGGTAGTAGTTACATTTTCTATCGATTAATATATTATAAATTGAAACCTGTTTCGACAAATGTGATATGGTGAATGAGAGTATTTAATTAAAAATATCACTATATCTAAATGGTCACCCAATTTATACCAATGGTTGGCGATGAATCGTTTAAACTACAAAACTCAGACGACAATCAATTGATAACCATACTCTAGTTATTGAATAGGATAGGATTTCTGGTGATCAAGTGATACATGTTAAAATAATCATTATTTCCGCAAAATGTACTTAGTAAATGTCACATAAAGAACAAATTCATATAAATACGTATATTTGATCAAGTTGGCCAAATGCGTAGAGCAGTTTGGTTTATTTCCCTCAGTTCTCATTGTTATGGAAGAAAGGATTATTAATCTTCCTTTACTACTACTAATCAGTTATATGACATTCAATTTAATAACATTAGAAAATACGCAATTCTTTATAGGTCGATCAATTGAGTACATGTTTGAGAAAGTAGAGGGAGAAGTAATGAATGCAACTCACAGTACTAGGGGAGAAGACAGTTCGTCCAAAAATAATAGAAATGATTATTATAATAAGAGATTATCAAACAAGGTAGGTGGTAAACGCTATGAAGATATTTTCTCCTATCGTGATTATTCAATTTTCGATGATATTGATTCAGAAACAACTACATTTCAGTATGGTGGTAAAATCACAAAATATGGTAAACGTAGTCGAACGGATTCCGACAGTATACCGACAATTGGAAGTTCGGATCGATATGCTAGTTCATATATTAAAGATAACTTTAAAATTAAAGCTAAATCAAAGAAAAAGTATGCAAAAGATCATGTCTATGGAACTTATAAATCTAATAAAAAACGTGGAGGAAGAAAAACTAATAAAGAAACAAAATCGAAAGAATCGCGAAACAAAACCGAAAGAACATCTTAAGCCGAAAACTGGAAATTGGATATGCAGTTACAAATGCAGTAAATCACCAGATGTGATAAATATGTTTTATTCCACATAGAATCAAATTTATTTATGTATAAAATAATGTCAACCACTATTTTGATGATTGTTAAACAACATATGTATCAGAAAATAATGCAAGTAATATTATCAATAGTTCTTCCAAAACGTAAAAACAATGTTACGCTTCTTGCGCTATTATCTTAGCATAAATAGCCGTTCGTATCTAGCTAGAAGGTAATTTGTATAGTGGGGGAGCGTGCAAAGTAGAGTAAGTGGGAGGAGCTGGTAAAGAGACGAACAAAAGAAAATGTGAGCCAACGATGTAGCAAGCGCACAAAATCCACTTACAGTAAGAAAATTAATAGACGACAACCAACAATGAAATAAGCCAACAATATTGTTTTCAATTAGAGCATCACCAGACTTTACTGAAGAATATAAACGGAAAGGGGTGAAGAATGACAAACGAATACGGAGTGTGAAAACACTAATAAAATCGTTTATTGAGTCGTATCGGACCAAGGAATGAACAGGGGTGTCAGGAATTTCTTCTGAACTGAAATTAGGTCTATGGGTTCGGATCCATATAGCTTCTGCTATATGCATTAGACGGGATCGTACTCCATTGGCTCAGGTTTACGATAGATTACTCGAAATGATTTACTTTTCTTTATCGTATGCTCACCGAATATGTGAATATTCATAGATATTAGAGTAAAGACTGATGACCATCTGAGTGGAAACAATATTGTCCGCTTATGCGTTGTTTGAAGAACAGATGCCTCAGACTGAGACCATCTGGAAATTGAAACTAGGAGCAGATAGTTGAACTAACCATACCATACGATCTTCGAAACGCTAACACAAGTTTTTGCTTTGATAAAACAAACATGAATAGAACTAATTTACACAGATGGAGAGCTCTCAAAACTTTTAAGGAATATAACGTAAGATATTTCAGCATTTTTATTTACTTCATATCATCTCAGACTCAATATGGCAACTGTGAAATCGAGGGAGTCTAGGACAACGTTAGTAGGACCTGGAGATTTTTAAGTCACTTTTCTCCTATCGAGTATAGAATTTGTACGATTTTAAGTATTTCCTATCAAATAGTGTTGAGATCTGTTAGTGGTGGTTTTGAAAGGCACTTAAGTTTTCCATTATCTGTTTTCCTATATCAATAATGTGGAGTTATTACTGTTGTGTATTTAGGCTCGCTTTTTATCACGTAATTCATTCGCCAATCGAAATACGACTTATTCGCTCTTGTACTGTACTAAACCAATGACGTCCGACTGGTCTGATCAGCCTAGCATCTTATTGGTCTTTTGCTTGCCTAGCCCGTTGAATTTCAAATATTTTAGGTTGTAAGCAGATGATGAGAACCTAACGAAATAAAATGAATTCATATTATTCTGCACCGATCTTTGTTCTTGCTCTCTATAAGATAATAAAGGAACTATGTGTATGAAATGACTCCAGAATGTCAATAACAGGCTCCACTATGCGAATCATTTCTCTCAGACATACTTGGTTTACATACCACGCAAACAGACCGCATCGTACCATAAAATAGGAAATAACATTTATACACAATAAAGCCAAAACTTGACTGTGAACGTGGGAGACAGTAGTCAATAAACTGAATATAACATAAGGACAGTAAATCGTACAGTCAGTAACAACGTAGAACTTCGTACGTACGTACATCAGTTCGAGTTGCCACACCACATTAGCACAGAGATGCAGTGGTCGATTCAAATCCCGTAGTGGTAGAGGTAATAAGAGTATAAGCATAATCGGGAAGATTAGTGATTGGAGATGTTACTTAAAGAGTATAATCCAGTGAAATAAATTTGAGAAGAGAAAAAAAAAAGAGACAAGGAGGAATAAGGAGATCAAAATTTAGGAGGACACAAAGAGTGTATGCACCTGCGCCATTGCAAACGATTTTGAGCCATGTCATTCAGGGTCTCTAACCATCGGTTGCCATCATCTCGCGGTCCCCAACCAGGTAGTCTACACCTACCGATATGACTCAGACCAATTGTCAGTGACTTCATGGACTTGTGCCATGTTTTGGTCTGGCCGCCCCTAGCTTTCTTCCAACCTACTCCTATACCACTGAACATCGTACGTCGAGGCAGTCGGTCGTTGGGTTAGTGTTGGCCTTAACGACCTGGGAGCGTGACCGCAGATCCCAAGGGACAACTGCTTGAGGCCGGTCGCGCACGGCCTTTTCGTGGAGGGTTTTTAATGTCTTAGCTCCGTTCTTCAAAGGGCCTTACCGCCGGAGACGGAAATCCGTGAGGTAAGGTGAGATGTGACATTTTAGGGTCGACCTTTTCTAACCCCACCCCTCCTTGTGGGAAGGCAGCATCGCTGCAGATGCTGGTTGTCCGAAGGAAACACCTTACTGCTGTCACACCCCTCTACAGTCAGTAGTACGACTTCGCCCTCAGACCTTGAGTTGCTGCTTTTAGTCTTACCGTTCTCCAATCGACCTGCCTGGCATGGTAGAACCTACAGAAACATATGTTCCAGCCAATGTAGCTCGGTTGGGTCATCACGATAGGCAAGCCCGACCACCGCGTCAAGGTAGCAGCTTCGGTCGGGAGTAAATCGTACAATAATAATCTGTAGGTTAGCAATGAAGTTCTGAAGAGATAGAAAATGTAAAGCGCGTATATTAAAAGAACAACAACAAAGAAACAACAGAAATTACTGTATAAGAGTAAAATAATAATAATTATTATAGTGGTTGGTGGTCAGGGAAATTATGTGTGTGTTGTCTGATTTCGTAGGTTTTCAGACAATCATTTATTATCAGTTTAGAGGTGCCGGCTCAGTGGTCCAGTAGGTTAGGCGTTCGTGCGCGAGACTGAAGGCCCCGGGTTCGAGTCCCGCTAGCGGGATCGTGGATGCGCACTACTGAGGAGTCCCACAGTAGGACGAGACGGCCGTCCAGTGCTTCTAGGTTTTCAATGGTGGTCTAACACCAATCGGTTCATGATCTCAATCAAAAACCATTTATTACACAGATCTCAAAACTCCATCTTATCAAATAAATAAAACAGATTTGTCGTATAGTAAAGCAAAACAGAAAAATCAAAATATTTTAACTGACCGCACACGTGGAAACAGCCTGTCATCAAATAAAACGAATAGGCAGTCTAATGTTAGGACTCGGAGCAAGAGAAATCAGAGGTATAACACTGTGTCAAATAACATTGCATCTAAAGACGAAATGGATTCAGAGACAGGAAATTTCTATCATAGTGCCATATATTCGGAAGTCGAAATAAATCGAGACGAAGTTATGAACAATTACACCTGTTTCGATGAACATCCATTACAGGAACACAATGAATATGGCAATATTTCCGCTTGATTCACGATTCTCATTAAAGCGTAATATTATTGATCAGTTGAATATGATAATCTTTCGTTGTAAAAGTCGACTGTGTTCTGACAATTTCTGTTATTTATATTCATTCAGTATGAGAATGATCCAATATGACAACAACTGAATTCTGATTATTTAAATCTACCAGATAATTACTGTGAATTCAATCTGTATATATATCACAGTTGTAGACTGCTTCTGTCTTCGTAATGGTTGAAGTCTTGGTCAAGATTGTTCAAAACATGGTGTTAAAGAATAATCGCAGTGTGTTCAGTAGTAGGTTAACATGCTCAGATTGTGTAGTGAATATTAGGTTATAACTTTGATGATAGGTTTGATATGCAAGCTATATCTCAAGTAATATATAGTTGAAACTATTTTCTGATCCAGATTACAACGCGTTCTACGAGAGTTTGTATCATGAACAATCAAAATGGTAAAACTGATTTTAAAAAATTGGGCTCCTAAATTTTTAATAAAGTATTCTAATGAAAACAACAAATAATTATATTCATTTGTAATCAGTTATTTCAACAAATTTTTGATTATTAATTTAAACTGTGATAACGATTCAGAAAGTATTCAATGTTTTCGAAAAAGAGAAAATAACTTACAATCCAATTTAGCATTAAAATAATCTTGGTACGGGATAAAACTGATAACATAATGTGGATTGTTTAGTGATTGGAGTGGTTGTCTTATGTCCGATCCCACTATAGTGTCGAATCGCTTTGCAAATAAGTGATATAAATAATGTTGCTCATACAAACTGTGGGTTACATAAGAAAATAACTTAAGTTACTTATAAGATTACAAATGTAATATAATTTTTGAGAATTTTTAACGGGTTTTCAAACTAATAACAACACATAATTATTTATAGAATATTAGATTAGATTCATGTAGTTTCGTGGCTAGTGGCCAAGTATATAAATCAATAATTTATAAACAATATTACCTTTTAAATGAATTGGCAGTTCTGTCACCTTCCTTTATTATCGCATAATCCAAAAGCGAGATTGAACAAAATGAAATAACAGTTTACATCAATATTCGTGTACTTTTGGATGAGTGATAACGGCTCAAAAAATTAATGAGGAAAATGGAAATCACCAGATGCGCGGAAATATTCTCATATACAATTATTATCAAACATCCACAGAATCCAACTTTTTAGCGGCAAATATACTGGGTATTGTGATACTTGCGAACAAAGGAAATTCCCTCCCAATAAATCTACAGTGAGATTTCAGTTATCAAAAACTTGCCGTTTTTATTTTCATTTAAACAGCGTAAAGATGATTGAACATTTAAACTCATTCTCTGATAATTTATGGAGATAAAGCTAACCTAACCCAAACCATTCATAAATCTCAATTGATTTTAATATTAACTACCAACCTACGTATCGATTTACGAAACGTATAGTGCTAAAAGATTGAACCTATTCTAATCCATCTCACCTCTTTACTAGGTTACATCCTACTTGATAAAACCCTACTTGATGTAGGTTAATAGTAGGAGAAGCAATCCAGTTATTCCTGATCTTTGTTTATTGAAACGATTTTTGCTTTGTAGAGATAAGCTGCTCCTGTCTTGCTGTGTCATTCTTAAGTCTTTTATTCGGCGTTCTGCTCAACATATTCTATTTTTCTCAACCGTCTTATGATCACTATGTCCCGAAAGAAAAATGTTTGGTAATTTCGAAACAGTAACTGGTGATTTATTAAAACAATACTTGCACAATATCACTTAATTTCTTAGTTTTTGATTAAAAACATACTGTCTACTGAATTTCTTAATAGTAGTTTATCTGGAAGTAGCAACATACAGCAAGTATTTGATAAACAAGTGGTAAAAAGAACGAGAATTTGGTAATTTCATGACTAATGTATAGAATTTTGGTGAATAACTAATTAACTGTGTACCACTGTAACTGTTGAACACAAAGAAATTTAGAAAGTATACAAACTGACAGAGGTACATTGTTTTACATAAAAGACGCCTGTGTGATGGGTTCTGTGGATATTATGGCAATTTCAATGGTTAAGATCGTGATTCAGATTAAGCTAGACCACCATGGAAAGCCTGGAAGCACTGAACGGCCGTCTCGTCCTATTGCGTGACTCCTCAGCAGTGCGCATCCACACTCCGCCCCGCGGGACTCGAACCCAGGACCTATAAACCACGCGCGCGAGCTCTTAACCACTGGACCATTGAGTCGGTATCCAACGGTGTTAATTTCTAACTTCAACTAACTACGAAATTGAGCGACACATCCACCATTGTCTTCAGTGAGTTACTATCTCACAACAGACCTGGTTGAACTCCGTTTGTCACTACTTCTCATTAGAACTTCAGGATATACCCATTGAAGACGGTCACTAGTGAGCATATGTTGAAGTTAGACATCAACACCGTTGGCTGCCGGCCAGCTCAGTGGTGTAGTGGTTAAGTGCTCGCGCGCAAAACCAGTAGGTCCTGGGTTCGAATCTCGCAGGGGGCGAGGTTGTGGATGCACACTGCAATAGAACGAGACGGCCGTCCAGCGCTCCCAGGTTTCCCATGGTGGTCTAGCTTCAACTGACTCATGATCTTAACCATTGATATATGAAATGCCATCCCATATTTCCAAATAAGAAACGACACTTCCCCAATATTTCGAATGGATCCAAGCACAGCTTCAGAGGTATTATCTACTCATATGAGTTAGAAATACCACACAGGTAGCCAAACGGAATTAAGTGAAGTGTGTTGAACATAGGACCTGCCGATTCAAAATCTATTGCTTCAACCTCCGAACGACCTCCAAAATCGATAAACTAAAATTACACCTAATATACTAGTCAGAGACAGATATTAAATCGATTTGGAACTAGAAACTAGAGGTACATACAAGTATATTTATTCACTAGCTTAAGTCAAACAAAGTGTATCAACTGAATGCAAAATGAGACTCTATTTCAGGATAATAAAACATTTTGAATAGTAAACTGCCATTTATCCGTTAGTTGAGAAATTAATAGTTTCTTTGATATCAGAAATTATTTTGCACTAGTAATGAATCAACAGTCGTAAAAACAAACACGAAGTACGTAAGTTTTCTGGAAAATAAAAAATCGATGTTTATTTTAAAAGTAAAAATTAGGTTGATTTTTACAAAGAAACTAATGTTTTAAGCATACAAATCCCAATTTGGTCATCAAATTGTCTAGATCTGCAGACAAGATTTTCCAGACAACCGTCATATACCCAAATAGGATCTAAAGGTTCGACAACAAATTATTCGATTCACAGTCTTTGGAATTTGTAATTGACTACCATTAATTCCAAAGACTGTTTAACCTCATCCTCCACCAGCCATTGGTGGAGCATTTGGAGCACCTAAAACGAAAAATGGAGGAAAACACTAACTATGCAAAGAAAATAAACAAAAACACTTTAAATGGTTGATTACGTTTATGACTTAACTAACAGGTAAGGACCGATCAGATGTTTTAATCTACTAAACAAACATTACTGTCGAGACTACGAGCTTGGAGTGGATTCAACAGATAACTACAAACAAATATAAACCAGATTAGTTAACACTGGGGAATACTTACAAGAAGTTCAAATGCTAATGAAGTCTGATCAATTTTGTGCTGGAAAAATCAACAGAAAACGACAGGTTCTAATAACAATGATTTAGCTTACTTCTGTACAACCCTTGAAAATCCCAGGAAGTCTACTAAATTTCAGTATTCAGTAAACTACCTCAAAGGAAAAACACAATGTAATTCACTTACAGATGTAGTAGGTAAAAAAAACTACGTGTTGTGAGAGAGCCACTCGTTGTAACTGTCTATACTTCCACAGGTAGGGTGAAATTTGAATGAGTGATAAATAGAACATACAGCCTAGCGCAACACGTTCCAGTTTGAGGTGTCATATTTATTATTAGTACACTAATATTGGGCATCCGGACAGTATCACAGCCCACAAATCAATGAAAATTACTACTGGTCTCATTGTTATTGTGTGGCGCATATGAGTATGGTGCCCCCTTGTCCCAATGTTTATGTGCTCAAATAAATAAATTGACAGGAAATCAACAAAATGAGCAAAAAAGTGGAAATAATTATGTGAACTGTAGGAAATATGCACACAACGAATGAAAGGAGAGATCTACGTGTCAAGTAGCTCGAATATAGGTTAAAAGGTTTACTTAAGTTACCATAACTGCTTTCGATTTATCCTATTCACTGATCAAAAGTCAAGTGTCCAAATTGGCGAGCTTTTTTATCAGACTAATATTTTGATATTTTTCAGCATTGTACTGACTGGTCGCTTCTTGGTGTTTTAGAAAAGTGGAAACGGAGTATCTGACCGATTTTCATTAATAGTACTTACCGCTTGTATTTTAGTAATTTGTCAGCTATACTATATACAAGAAAACATATTACTATCACAAATGACCTTTCACCTAAACCATAGACATAGTTAGCAAAAACTACACTGTGCATTTTGTGAGCAACACAACAGTTTTGTGCATCGTACATTTCCGTTTAAACTTAGGATAACTTATTTTTGCTAAATAATAACGTGAGAGTTTGTAACACCGTTTAATGACATGCACTTTCACAAGTACTTCTTGCTAATGCAACCCAAGTTACTCATCTATGCGTTGTCAATGAGGCACTAGGACTATCTCAGACTCCTTTGGTGAGAAAAAATGCCCACAGTCCTAGCAAATAGTTATATTTCTCGACAGTTACGCACTTCATGTTTATGAAAGCGTAAGATTCATGGTATATTCAAAGGAGGACCATCAATTAAAGAACGAGTATATTAAGCAGCAGTTTATTTTTTTCTACTTTACAGTTACGACACGTGGCCATTAAGGGTAGACAATACTCGTAAATTACTAGTATTTGACCATAGATGTTCTAGAAATATTGTTCGCGTCCGCTGGGACAACCGGGTAAGTAATGGTGAGGTTAGACGTAGGGTATTAGGGGATGATGGTACATCAGTTGATGAGGTTGTAAATCTTTATAGACTGAGATGGTTGGGCCATATGTTACGTATGCCTGAACACCAATTACCACGACGCAAAATGTTGGCTTGTGTCGGAGACGGTTGGAAGTTAGGGGCGGCCAAACCAAAACGTTGCGTCAGTCATTGAAGTCACTAACTTCTAGTCTGAACCATGTTGGTAGATGCAGACTACTTGGTTATGGTCCGCGCAACTATCGTAACCAATGGTTGGAGACTCTTGGTGACTGGCTCAGAATCGGTCACAATGACGTAGGCGTATACTCTCTGTCTTTCCTTAAACCGTGAGATTAAAATTACTTTATATCTTTCTTTCTATAAACTGATTCTTTCTTTTTGTAGTATGTCCTAATATGCATTCTTTCTTTTATATATAACAACCATTGAAATAACTGCATCTATGAATTTGGTGTGTCATCGCGTTGTGTTAATAAGGTATGGTAACTTGAACCGATGTATATGTGCCTGGTCCTACATTGTGGATGACTGACTGAAATGAGGGCTATAGAATATGATATTAAGAAGTTTAATATAAATCTGATACAAATGCTAGGCAGATCATTACCTCTACAGCCTCCAAATCCACCAAAACGTCGTCCAGGTGGTCGAGGTGGTCTATAACGTTAAAAGTTTTTAGAAAAGAACTTGGGCGACTAACCTTCCATCCCAAGAATTTCTTGGATTAGATGTCTTCTGGCGAAAAAGCTACAAGTAGCCTGTCACTTTTAATCGTAGGAACTTACGTCTAAAGGTAAGAGTGTTTGAATACTGAAAAAGTAGGTGAATAAATGATAAAATATCAACTTACAATAGACAAATGATGTTGAAAAGATTGAGAAGTATTTGTTTCAAGTAACGTATACCCCATGGTTGCCTATCAACAATATTACCTAAAAATACAAAGAACTACTGTCTTTAAAACGATTTTTTGCAAAGATTAACAGGGTTGGATTTTTTTTAAATATCATGTTTAAGACTATAATTATGCACCAGTAAATATTTTCATCGTGAACCATATCTCTGATGTCTAATTTTTTTAATCACTACCAATAATGATACTATCTATATCAATCTGGTATTGGGTTTGACAATTTGACCTCGGTGTGCTAATGGGGTGTAACAACTTGAATTGATGTACATATGTAGCAGGTTTTAAATTCTATATAACTGACTGACAAGTAGACATTAATTGGCAGAAATACATTCCTCAATGTGGATTGGGTAAAAGTCAAATTGATTCAGTATTCTTATTTACAGAGTATAGTCATATTTATGACAGTTTGAAAAAAACTACAACAAAATGTGATAAGTACTTCTCAACAGTTTTCTATTGCCTAACTTCCGAAATTTGAGGCAAGTCAGTTCTTGAATAAGTAGCATTTAGGGGAAGCGTTTTTCATCAAGTTCTAATAACGAGATGAAAGGTTGCTTATCCACTGCAATACAATATGTAAAAATTATTCAGAAGCCGTCGTAAGCTCGACTACCAGTGTACTCTCTTACGTGCTCTAGAACGGCTTTTTCTCGGGATGTTCGTATACAGCAATACATTTATAATCTCTGAACAGGAAAACCCACTGGTTTTCTCCACGAAATGCGGTGCTTAGACTGGTTTTATTGGGTACAAGGTTCCGCCTAGAGGAGCTAGAAAACCCAACACCAAGCCGACAGCAAGCACTATCCTCGGGGTCTTGAAAGGACAGTGCATGAAAGCATTACTCAGTCAGTCAGTCAGTAACAACGTAGAACGTCGTACGTACGTACATCAGTTCGATTTGCCACACCGCATTTGCACAGAGATGCAGTAGTCGATTCAAATCCCGTAGTGGTAGAGGTAATAAGAGTATAAGCAGTAATCAGGAAGATTAGGGTTTGGAGATGTTATTTAAAGAGTATAATCCAGTGAAATAAATTTGGAAAGAGGAAAAAAGGGACATGAAGAATTCAGAAGATTAGAATTTGGGAGAACACAGAGAGTGGATGCACCTGCGCCATTGCAAACGATTTTGAGCCATGTCATTCAGGGTCTCTAACCATCGGTTGCTATCATCTCGTGGTCCCCAACCAGGTAGTCTACACCTACCAACATGGCTCAGTCCACTTGTCAGTGACTTCATGGACTTGTGCCATGTTTTGGTCTGGCCGCCCCTAGCTTTCTTCCAATCTACTCCTATAACACTGAACATAGCACGTCGAGGTAGGCGGTGGTTGGGCATACGTAACACGTGTCCAAGCCATCTCAACTGATAAAGTTTCACTACGTCATCAATTGATTTGCTATCCTCACCTGGTTTATGAGAAACGGCATCTCTTAACGCCGCTCTAAAGACTTGGGGATTGAACATCTAGGTCAGGAGCTAAGGAAATAGGTCCCCGAGAAGACCTGCTACATTTATGTATTTTTAAATTAGGTTGTTCATAAACATCACAGGAGCTCCTTGAACAGAAACAAACTTTTCTTAACCACCAATGGAATAATTTCTGACTGTATCTGCTACCTCGATGCAGAGGTATAGCATAAATGGCCGACAAAGCCGCTATGGCCATAACTCCCAATGCTTATAGGAAGGCATTTCTGACCTATCTTGGGTATTTCATTTATTAGACTTCTTAGTTGTGCAACCACATTACTAAGACTAACATTAACTCAACCTAAAAAGGCCTTAAAAGATATTTCAAAGCGTACGAAACCAACAGACGATTTGACGTACACGCTATCTTAAATTAAGGGGATTCTTGGAGATTGTAGTATTTTCGAAGTTGAATTCACGAGTTATTCCAAGCTAGACCACAATTGAAAGCCTGGAAGCACTGAACGGCTGTGGATGAGCACTGCCGAGGAGTCTTGTAGTAGGAAGAAACGGCCGTCTAGTGATTTCAGGTTTTCAATAGTGGTCTAAAATAGGTCAATCTCATTCAAAACTCGTGAATTTAACTTTGAGTATATACTGTTGTTTACTGAGAAAAAGGTTATTTAATACCTACTGAAGTAGATCTGTGCGTACTCTAAGAACTAAATGGGATTTCGTGGTGATCAAGACATTTATTTCTTAAATGATACATTTGTAGAAAGTGAGACGCTGCTTAAAAGGCCTCAAATACCTTTACATTGAGTGCTAGCTAACCTAATAAATTGGAAAAACTTATGAGCGGTGTAATCAAAAAATGAGGTAATTACATGAAGTTACTGAATGCCAAACAAAGGTATATTGATTGATACAAACAGCCGTTCCGATAGCTCTTAGTTTCGCTGTTTGAGGGAAATATAGTGCTTAGTGGTTGCCAGAAATTATATCGATCATCACTAATTATCTATTTGAAGTATAGCATTATATATATTTTTTGATGTTTGACCGTTTAATGGTTTTACACTAAATATTGTATTTTAATGTGCAAGAAACACAGTTGACAATGTCAGAACATGTACCCGTTTGTTCAGTTGTATTGTGAGGTGTTTTTGATTTAGAAGTATACAAAAGTTCCCTTAGAAGGATATATAAATCCTCTTGAAGTGCCGCTGACTTTTAAGTAACCCATTGAACAACAATTATCCTAGTTGCCAAGTGCAAAAAATTTGAGAAGTGGACTATTTGATAACTCTACTTAATTGTCTTAATATACCTTGACAGTTTTGAGAAGATTAATGTAACGAACCTGAACTTGTAACAAACGTCATTGCCAACTCGACCTTGACAACTAACTGTGCTCTTCAAAATACAAAATATTAAAACAGCAAACCTTCTTAAAGGGAAGTTCGCGAATAGTGGATTCTGAATATTCTGTATTTATTTCAGTGATTAAAGTTAATTCATCATTAGTAAGAATAATTTTGTGTAAGTGGGTCTCATTACATACCACAATAGATTCATAGTTACGCTGGGATTATTCTGTAGAATAACGAATTATTCCTTACTATCCATTATGAAAGCACCTTATAATTTGGATAATTTAAAACCATCTATGAAGAAGTTGTGGTAAATAACTCCATGAAATATTCAGCCCTCATAATGACATTGTCAGTTTTAACGTACACTCCTAAACAGAGTCTCTTGGTTACTTATCGTGGCGATGTCAGGGGACACCCCACAAGAGATGTTTCTCCTAATCCATATGACTGGCTCATTAATATATCATCTCACTATATCGATGGCCTTCCAAATATATATTTGATCTACTTCATTTCTGACTTCTGCTTTGACTGGCTTTATATACTTCGACCATGCAGTTGTTACGAGTAAAGGAGTTGTCAAACTCCGAATACCTGTTGCAGTTTTAAGTGCATGTGTATGCGTGATATTAGCATTGTAAATAGGAGAATAATAGTGATCTGGGTGTTAATATTTCTTGTCTTTTTGCTCCTTCCAGTGTTATTAATCTCCGAAGTCATAGCAAGAATGTTCGCAAACCGCGACCTGATAAACTTACAGCGAGGTCCCGTTTTTCTCATCTAGTAGTCAATGACTGGAACGCTGGTATCAGCCCCATCACTGAATATTTTCAAGGAGAATCTGGACCTTCATTAGAAGGATTAAAACATGGTTACCAACCCACTATCCTTATTACTGTAGACTGAAAGCGGTTATCAGTTCAGAAAAAAGAGATAGCGCTTTTAAAGTATCCTAAACCCCACACTTCCTAAGTTATGACAATAAGTTAATTTACAAACCGGTCTAAAACAAAATAACACCTGTATGGTGAACTTTGTGCGACAAAGGTGATGTCATGTTTCTAGAAACCTTGTGTTCTCACGAAACATATACTTGAATAATTACTGAAAATAAAAAGACAATATTAATCATGATGAAATCTGTAGTAACTTCGTCCAAGCGTTATAAAGCTCATAGATATTATTGTCAGACATCATGTGCTAAATGAACAATTTTTATCCCACTTATAATTCCTTCCTTCTCATAACTAATGACGACTTCCTACTCGTGTGTAGTTTTACGTATGCAATATTTATTTGCTTTTACCTGTTCATATTTGAGCTATATGTGTGAGCTCATTTGAAGAATTGTACTGATTTTGGCTCAGACAAATATCCGTATCACACACACACACACACTCCCATGGTTTGTTTCTTCATACGAACGTTTGGAACATTTATAATATTGACAAGGAAAGTCAGAAGCCTGAATGAAAGGAGTATGGAGCAATCTGAAATAATGCTATTTCATATAGTCGTTTAATAATGATTGTTTATTTAGGAGTAATGGCCTGACATGCTTTGATATGATTTTTGGGCTCCCCTGTCTATATCATCTAGATGGAGTGCCGTCACCGCAGTGTTTGTAAGAAACATCCACGGTGGAAATATAAGCGAATTATTCAGTATGGATGTGAACCCCTAATTTGACATATGATAGGACTGACTTCACGCTTTTTGAAAACCAATTCAAGGATTAAAACTATGCAGTGACCGTAACTAAGTATGGAACATTGCTGTTTTCGCATGGTACATTTGTAGTATTCGTTCACCTTTTGTCGGAATATATACTTAGAACAACCTTTAACACAATTAAATTATGCAGTCGTTACCCCACTGCCTGGGACAACTTTGCATGACCAATATCTCAAAGGATATTAAAGGACGATAAGATTATTTGAAACCCGGTAATCAGGATCGTCTATGATGGTCAATCCGTGCCCTTAAGGATATCAAATATATTTTGTGCTTGACAACGCTGTAGTCCATAACACTAGTCAAAGCAGAAGTCAAGGATAAACAGGTTCTAAGATATATTCGAGACGTGGTCAATGCGTCGATATGTATATAAACTAAGCTGACTAGTTGTTGTAGGAAAAGCGTAACACGGAGTACCCAGTCGTGATCTGGTGAGGATGTTTGAACGAGCCACATAAATCATGAATATTTCCAGTGGAACTAAGGGGTTCATTATCAAATGAAAGACGTAAAGAACTATTTATTTTGAGGATTTATTCACCGATACACTATTGATGCGATAAATTTTGATTGGGATGTCAGCTAGCTTCTAGGATATTTTCTGGCAATGTGAGGAACAAAAAATTAGAGAAATCGACTTTTCGGCTGTTAAATCCAGCGTATGTATGTCGCTTTCTTCATTTACACCAACCCATTTATATAGATGAAGGGACAATATCACCCGATATGTTCCTAAAAAACGTGATAAAACTTACTAGAAGTATTTTTAGAAAGTATGTGGCACAAACATAACTGTATATTATCATAAGGATGCTATTTATAACGTGGGCAGACACCTTGTAATAACACACTTGTCACAATCGAAAAGAACTTTTATCAGTCAAAGGGCGGCACTCAACCATAGGTGAAGAGATTACTTGCTTACTTGCGCCTGTTAACCTTAGTGAACCGTGGGCCGCCAACCAGAATTCTCTAACTGACTCTGTCCTGCACAACCCTTTTCAATTGCTACTCATCCTTCTCATGTCTACATCCAATTTCCGGTGCGATGTGTCCTTTGGTCTTCTTCTTTTCACTTTTCCTTTAGGATTCCACTTCCAACGGGTTTTCCTTATTTCCTCTTTAGCCGGAGGATGGTTTGTTCTCTCCCACAGTAGGCTGTTGCTGATGGTATCACGCCAATGGACATTCACTATCTTGTGTCGACAATTGTTTATAAATACTTGTATCTTTTTGATGATGGTTGTGGTAATTCTCCAAGTTACAACTCCGTACTATACAACTAACTGTATTGATGTTCGTGTTGAAAACTGTGACTTTGATATTGGTTGACAGTTGTTTTGAGTTCCATATGTCCTTCAACTGTAGGAATGCTGTCTTTGTTCTTCCAATACTTACCTTTACGTCTCCATCAGATCTCCCACCTTCATCAATGATGCTTCCCAGGTACGTGAAAGATTCCACCTGTTCTAGAGTTTCTCCATCAAGTGTGGTTAGGTTGTTGTTCTCCATGTTGTATTTGAGGATCTTGCTTTCTCCCTTGTGTATGCTGAGGCCTACTAATGAACAGGCTGCTGCTACACTTTGTCTGCATCTGCGTTTGTTATTGTGTGTGGGATAGAAGCGTCAGGTCATCTGCGAAGTCCAAATCTTCTGGTTGCATCCAACCTGTCCACTGTATTCTGTGCTTCTCCTCAGGTGTGGAGGCCTTCATAATCCAGTGAACTACCAGAAGAAAGAGAAATCGGTAGAGTAATCAACCTTGTCTAACTCCAGCCCTCACTTGGAATGCGTCTGTCAGCTGTTCACCGTGCATCACTTCGTGCTGTAGCTCGTCATATGAATTCCGTACGATGTTGACGATCTTCCCAAGTACAAAATAGTATCAAAGAATGTTCCTCATGAAACTGGTGACTATCATCTTCCTCGCTACTATTGGTAGGTGCATAATACTGGATAAATCTCATTGTGATTTCCCCCTTCTTTGTTCCGGAGGATGGTTTGATGGTTCTGGACCCATGAGATTCCCATCCTATAAGTGCTTGTCGTGCTTTCTTGGACAGCATCAGAGCAACATACTGAGGGTGCGGAGAATTATCTTCTCCATGACCAGAGTACTGCAGTATTTTTTCAGAATCTAATCTTTTCTGTCTAGCTTGGTCCAATGGATCCCACTTACTCCGAGAACCGCCAAGTTGTAATTCCTCACTTCCGTAATTGTTTGATTGGTCTCTTCTGCCTCTCACATTGTTCGAACATCCCATTCACTCATAATAATTGTTGCTCTGGTTGTTAGAAAGAGCGTCTGCCTCGTGATTTCCGATAGATCATGGCTTTCATCACGAGGAGTCATAATTCTTATGAATGGAGATCCTTCAACTTTGAGGGCAGAATTTAAACGACTCAAATTGTTGCTTCTGGTTATTATTTTTTTCATATGGTTGTTTTCTACCGGATGGAGTTGCTGGCCATATGTCTAACCCCCTTTTTATCTGGGCTCAGGACATGCAGTAACCTTTGTAGGGCTGCAGGCGGAGTTATCGCATGTCTTATAATACTACACTTGAAGTACAATCGAGATATCCGAGAGGTCTAAAAACAAAGTCTCTGTGCGTTAAAAACGTCATGTTAAACCTTTTTCCTTAAAATCACAGACCTCAAGCTGAACAAGTCAGTATTATTTTAGGATATATATGATAACTCATTTCAAATGGTGTATTAACTACCAGTTACATACTTTCGTAAGTTGAGTCAACGTGATTCAATGAATACTATGATTACAACCTTTACATTTTTTCTTGCGCACTTAATTTATTAAGCGCTGACCTCACTTCACTGTCTCTTCTTTTCATCCTGCCCATAAGTGCCTTTGATAATCTTTGATTGGATAGTTTGTCCGATTATTTTTCTTACTTTATGTTACCTAAATGTATTGGCACATTTTCATTTGGCCTAAAAACTGAATAAAGTATATATTACTTATTAGTTTTCTTTAACATTTACATGCACTAACAAATATAGTTTACCACAAATCTTTCATTCATGACTAAAATACTAAGTTATGTGCTTTGGCCATGTCTATTCCTTTCTACTTCTAGTTTATAATTATCATTGTAGAACTTGATATAGGTTTACTGAAAGGAATATTCTACATTCATTTATTTAGATTTTAAGATTATGGTAGTTTTTACCCTGGTTTTGACCAATAACATCCGATCTGCTATAAATATTATATTGCTGTTAATTTATGATTGGTAGTTTAATTATATGATGTAAATGTGAAATAGGATAGGTTATGTTTATTCTTAACTAGT